CCAAAAAAATACCTTTCAAATTATGAAAGCGAAATTTAATATTTGCTTGGAACTGGAAATAATTGAAATTTCAGAGTCATTCGTTTTTGCCACTTTTTCTGTAAAGGGTAAATACTTGCCGTTCTTTCACTCCCCGAGGCATTTTTGTGACTGACTACTTAGCTGAAGGAAAGATGATCCCTTGTGCGTGTGGTGGGTGGTGCTTTCTCGTTGCCGGTGTCAAAAAGCGGGACTCTTTGAAATTTTAATGCTCCTTTGTGCGAGGCTAATGAGTTGATACGCCCATCCGAAAATTACTCATCCGACCGGCGAGAGCTAAATTAGATGGGTTCTACACTCTCTCTTGCTCTAGAGAGAGGCAAAAAGAAGACAGGGTCCCGTCGGCCGGCTCAATTGATTTTCACTCTCGCTTAAATAACTTGCAAACTCGCTCTCAAAGTATGAAAACGGTGGGACTCACGCAGTCTCGCCTTTGAATAATTGGAGACGAACTGCACGGTCGGTGTGAGAAGGAAGGTGATCTTTTTCCGCCGCTCGCCGACCAGGGTTCATTGATTCATTAGATACGAGATGAAAGAGAACCTACCGTCTTCATTGAGCTTTTACAAAGGACTAGAGAGGTTTGCACTTTTCATTAATTTATTATCAACTCCTGATGTGACCAAGTTCTCATCAAAAATTTTAATTCTTTGGCGTTTATTGATTAAACGAACAAAAATAAGTGTACAAAACTTTCAAATTTAAAAGTATTCTTATTTCAATTAACATTTCCAAATTTTTATTTAAAATTGTAAAAGCAGTTCCATGTTTAAACTCTCAACATTATTAGATCTCTCAAAATAAATTCGCAAATTCACACTAAACGAGCTGCAGCACCATTTCGCAATGAAGAGCTGTGCAAATATTTGACGTAGAGCAATGAATATTTCGCATAGCAGCACTTGAACGCGTCTCTAGTAATGAATGCACTCGACGAGGGCAATTAGCATTCCGCGTGATGCGCTTGCCGGAGCAGAACCGGCGCCACCGCATTTCTTTTCTCCCCCCCCCCCTCGTCAGTCGGATGGATTATCTGGCAGGGTTAATCGACGCCCTTTTGTACGTCATCTTCCTCCAGGGGGTTAAATGTCGCCGTGCGAGCGGAGAAGTCCTGTAAAAAACCGAGCCCAACCGAAATCGATCCCGGTAATGGCCGCGTCGTCAAATTAATGCTTCTTTTTGCCGCGCTGTCCTGCCGGTCCTGGGCAAAAGTAGTAGTCGTTCGTCTCGCATTCTTTGTGACACCTGCCGGTGGAAAATGAGCTCAGAGATTCGCTCTGAAAAGAAATAGAGACGCTCAGAGGTAAGCTCTGGTATAGCTCAGTTGCTGATTTCAAAAGATATTGAAAAAGTGCTTCCTTCCTAGAAAGAAAAATGATCTCCGAATTAAAATTTAAAGAAAGAAAATTGTAGATAGTTTTTATACTTTCCAAGAGCAATAAATCTAAATCAGGCACTTGCACTGTGCGAGCTTTGGGCGACTCTCGGAATTTAAAATTCTGCCTTGATCTCAGGATTTAAAGTGTATTTTTTTTTATACCCAATTGTTGAATCGATCTGAGGGTGCCGCATAAAATCGTCGACGGTGGCTGCGATCGCGTCTGAAATGGTTTCGCAAACGACACCGAAAAACAGGCCCCACTCTTACTCAAGTAGTCCTTTTAAGCGAGTGGCGCGTATTTTTTCCTCGTCCGAAGCAAAGTTGGCCGACGAGTCTCCGGTAAAAAAGCGACCGGCTGTTTATGGCTGCAGGAAGCAGCGGGGCCGCTTTTTAGCGAGATTGTTACTTGACGTCTCCTTCCCTTGGTAAGAGATTGCCACTCGGACATGTGAGATTGGAGTGCGCGCCGCTGTCACAGAACACTCGGCCCTAATTGGAACTAACAACAGCGAGGGCGAGGTTCTTCTCTCTCAATTAATATATATCGGGCCGCTATCAATCACTTTCCTAAATTAATAGCCGGAGACGTTTTTCCCGCTCGTTGTGACAACAGCCGTCGAGCACACGAAACAGCCGAGGCGCAAATATTTGCCAATTATCCGCCGAAAGAGACGACATGAGAAAAAGAGATGAGTCTTCAGAGGTGTGTACGGGGAACACTTGCTTTTGACGTGTGTGCTCTCTCGCGCGCGCAAAATGATGATGTTTCCGAGTGGATTTTCAGCAGCTTGCGCGGTGTGAAATAAAAAGTCGCTTTCGCACGCGTTCTTTCAACGGCCGGTTTTTATGCTTCGCAAATTGGACGTTTTCCTCCGCATCAGATGCCGCGTGTTTGAGATCTGAAAGAAATAAATAACCGCTGCAATTTTTCTCTGCATTTGAGTCGGCGACACATTTCCGTCTTTAAGAGGCTGTTTATGATTGTACTGAATGAAAACCAATTTGATTCACATGAGAAATCTCGTTGACGGAGTAGGGAATTGGAAAATATAATTTGAAGTAGTAAAAAATGGTTGAATCAAATCAATTGATTACCTCTGGATGAAATACTTTCAAACATTTTTATTACATAATTTACAATTTTCATTGACAGCAGAAAATTAATATCTCTGTCAATAATGATTATTAATTCTAAAATTATGCATAAAAATAAAAATGCGATGATTGGGCATTCTTTCGAGTTATATTTAAAAAAAAAAATACCAAAATTTTTTCCTTTCATCGTTTGGTTTCTTTGCGGGACGGCTTGTTTACCTTCAATGATTTATACCCAGTTAAAAAGTCCTCCCCCTTTCGTCAGCCCCTCGACAGCTGTTGCATATTCCCGCGATGAAAAATTTCCAAATTTCCATTCCTCCCTTTTCTTTTGCGGCGCTCAAGCGAACGCACTCAATCAAGCATCCGACAGCACGCTCTTGACTTTTCTTCCCTTCTCGATTCCTGCAAGAGAAGCGCCGGAATTTCACAAATCATCACTTTCACCGGCGCAAGAAGAGAAAGAAAAATTTGTCAGCGCGTTTGTCCTCGCGCTGCGCACGTCATCGCTTTTTGACGCGACCAGAGTGAGAGCTGTAATAAACACTGCACTCGATCTCCAAGTGCTCGCGGTGGCTGAATCAATTTGGTGTGAAGGGTCCTCCACGGCCGATCGGAGAGAAAATTCGGCCGGCGAACATTTGAAGCATGGGGCCAATTTGAATAATGGCTGGTGACGCGGCGCGTCTTGCTCGGCGGGCGGCAAAAGCTAGGCCGGATTTATTTCCGTGCGATACAAGCCGTAGAGGTACTACTTTTATCGGGCGACGGCGGTGGTAATATATCAGTCAGAAAAGCGCCATGCATCACCAGCCAGCAGCTTTCCACCGACGACTTGCATATGATAATATGCAAATCTATACACCACTGTTGCCACTAATTCCGCTATAAATCGGAATTTCACGTTTTTATTCGCAGATAATTTTGGTATTTTATTTGTTTGTTCTCGTCGGAGACAGGATTAATTAAGAATGCGTGAAGTTTGACACGGTAGCGCGCGACACTCGCTTTTATTTTTTCCACGTGAATGCGTCACGCGTCCACCCACCCGTAAATCAGCGTTTTGCACGCCGCCGTGAGTTTGCAACACGTGTTTATTCATACATGTGTGTGTGCATATTAAACGTACGTGTATTTTTATTTTGCGCACACTGATTTAAAACGGGCGCCGCGTTTAATTTCATCTACGGGCTGTTCACGGGCGCGATAAATCTGCCCGCATACGAGGTGCCTTTCCGCCAGATTTGCACCAAATGTGATTAAAATTTGTACATTTTGTGACTCGGTAAAACGATGCGCTGATTTCAATCCATTGGGTCACATGGCCTAGAAATCTTTGCCTTACATTCAATAATTTTATTTTCAATCAAATACACGGGCTTGCTGCTTGCTATGAACAAAGTTTTGCTTGAATTTAAAAAATTTTGAAAAATTATGCTTATAATTATTAAGATATTAATTTTAAATATATGATTACTTATAAAAAAAATTGTCACTTCCATGTTAAATAAAACTAAAATTTTTTTTTTTAATCTTGGATTTTACGTTTCAATTTCCCTCGAAACGAAGTACGGAGCAAACAAAGGGCGTATGCGTTTTCCTCTCGGGCGACGTTTTTGGCGAAATGGAAGAGTTGCCGCCACGCGAATCGGTAAAAATGCATTTTTATCGTGGCACGCTTCCGCCCCATGCCCACGTTCCCATGGGCCGCCGCGATATCCTTTCCACTCAGCCGGCACACAAAATAATACATCTTTTATGCCCATTGATTCGGGCGGTTTCATTGTCACGCGCGCATGTCGCAATTCTCACTCAAGTGGACATTATTATTCTGCACGGCCGATGGCGTAAGCCGCTTACTTAGAAGGGAAAGCCCAAAACAATATAATATATTTCTGGAATAATATTCTCTTTTTCGCAAAGTTCCACTCGCTCTTTGTTCCTCCTGCGATCTCATTAAAAAGAAAAGTTTACTCTGCGAGCCGCGCGTTGTTTATCTTTCGGGCGAGACGAATGCCGAAATTCGACGACGCGCTAATTACAGTCAATTATTTCTGCTGGGACTTGTTGCGTTGACGCGCAGGCCTCCCCCCAGGGGCTGCCGAGCAAGGGCAGCTTTTGACTCATGGAATTAGAAGGCCGCACATTACTCATTCTAAAACACCACGCAAATTTCGCCAATCTCTCATTTCAAAAGGTTGCCCCCTTTTCGTATGATTTTATGTCAAAGGTTTACAAAAAAGAAATGCGTTTATAGAGATTACATTATTCAGTTCAAAGGCTGAGCATCAGCTCTATTATGTTCAATTGAGAACCAAATAAATAGGAGGGGGAAAATTTTTGGTTGTTGGATAAATTACGCTTAACAATTTTTTTTTTATAAAACTTCCTAGATAAAAATATTTTGATTAAGAATTCAAAACTATTTTTTCGTTATATTGGCTCATTAAGTTGGTTTTTCTAATTTTCCATCTTATTATTGCAGGTTACGAAGCGACCATCCCTGGCAGTCCGCGATACTCCATGATCGGCGACCGCTCGAGCGGCGTCTTCAACCTGCGAATCATCAACGCCAGTCTAGACGACGACGCAGATTTTGAGTGCCAAGTCAGCCCGGCGAAGGGTCACAAAGCGATCCGCTCTGGCGCTAAGCTCACAGTTATCGGTAAGTCAAGATGCCCTTATCAGTCTCTCATCTCCGGATCGTAAAGTCACTCCGTCAGCCAGCAGCGCAGTCTCCCATCAAAATCGAGTTTGCACAAGGGGATTATCGCGCGCGCGGCGACAAACGCGCAGAGTGGAAATCTATAATTATTCCCAAGAACGCAGCCAAAGACTTCGGGAAGCAAACCGTCGATCGGATTTCAGAGTTAATCAGCTGTGAAATGCTTGGAATTGGGGAACTTTTTTGCTGCCGCTGAGATTGATAACTCTTGATATCAAACAAAGAACTTTTTATTAAAATTCCACGCATTTCCAACACGCATGAGAGAATTTCATTACAAAAGAAGTGAAAAATATTTGTCAAAAGTTAATTTTGAAGTCTAGACATCCTTTCAAAAAATCCAAACAACAATTTTTTAATGAAATGTGTACGAAATATTATACTAAGAATTTTTCCCTTTTTAAGTTTTACAAAGAAATGAAACTTAAATATTTGTCGCGTTTTTCGTCAACTCTTGTCGTGTTTGCAGGAACTAATTTCTCTTTGTGAACGGCGACGCACTTATTTCCGTTCGCCACAAAGCCAACCGCAAACAATATTCGCCTCCGCGTTGGCTAATTAACTCACAATTCCGGCGGAAATTCCGCGAATCGCTCCAACACGGAGACAACAAAAAGCGATGGAGAAAAATGGTGGCGGCCGCCTAATTCAATTTCGCGCGCTTTGGAAACTTTTTCGCGCTCAGGGTTTTTTTTATTTTGAGCGCGAGAGAAATACGCCGGCAAAAGCAGAGGAGGAAGAGCGCTAATTAAATAACTCTGCGTGTTCCGCCCTCCCCATCTTTACAAATCACCATCGTCACGCCGATTAATAAGGAACTCGTTCTTCGTCACTCTCATCTGAAAGACGACATAAAAATGATGAAATGAAATAATGCAAAAGATTGTAAATTATTTAAAAGTGATTCTTATTTTCAACGAATTTTTTATTATATAGGCATTGTTGAAAATTTGGAGCTTGTAAACATTTTTCGTTTGATTTAGGAAAAGCATTCATCAATGAAACCTTATATTTTCAATAATACATAGTATATTTTGTTCAATTTTTCACTCCATTTATTTTTAAATTCATTTAAAATTTAAAACAAAATATTATACATTTAAAACATTATATAGTTACTTATTTTTTTTTTAATTATTACTTTCAGCTTTTTGTTGTTGTTTCAGGGTTTTTTTAATTTGATAATAAATTATTATCTTAAATCTTAGTTACCGCACATTAATTAATAACGATCAGTTAAAGAAATTAATTTTATTGGAGTTGAAGGACACGTTTAATAATCATGTATATTTTTAATTGATTGTTGATTTCGTAGTGTGTGAGAAATTGTAGAGATTTTGATAATGATTCAAAAGTAATTTAAAGTTAGCAAAAGGGATAATAAAAAACGGAGGCTTTAGGCATCAAAAGCAGAATCTAAACGTGTCAAAACTTTAAAAATCCCCAGTCAAGCGTCGGAAGTAATCCCTGTCGGCTCGGTGCTGATATATATTTTTTTCGCGCGAAATTTCATCAGCGGCAAGACTAATTGATTGCGCCGGCGTTATCAGCAGCAGTCGTCCGGCCTGGGAAAAAGAGCGAGGTGAAATAAAAGAAGTGTTTGCGGCGGCTTTGGAGCCGGTGCTGCGCTATTTCTCAAATGAAAAGCGCCGCGTGTAAGTGATTCTTGGGCCGCAACGCGCGGCGGCCGGACGGACCCTCGGGGGAGTAGATAGGCGGCGTAAGCCCCGCTCTCGGGCTGACACGCTCATTTTTCACGGGCTCACTTCGGCACGCCACTTCATACATCAGCCCGCGCCACTTTATCACCCCTTGTCTTAATATTATTGTTGCCATTTTTAACCGGCCGGCGCTGACTAATGCTAATCGCACGCCGGCTGATTGCTTCTCCGATCGCAGTGTGACGTTTTAATTGAGGGACATGGGTGAGATTAGGTGCTATGTTATCCCACTTGCGGAAGAAAAACTCGATAAGAAGATATAGTTTTTAATTATTTTCGGACTTAATTTGTTAGGAAAAAAAACAGAGATGAGAAATTGTAAAGAGCCAATAAAAGCTTAAAGTTTCATGGTAAGGCAGTGAAACATTTTTGTTTAATCAATTATCTCTGCAAAAATCATCATTTAAAATCATGCTTGATACTGAGCTGATACAGAAATTTTTTTTATTAAAAATCAAATTAAATATCAATCAAAATCACCTATTTGGCCACTTATTCTTTTTTTTATCAATGTAATTTAAAATAAATTCAATTCAATTCAATTTATTTTTCTCCAAACAAGTCAATAAAATCAATTGTGAAAAAATTGGTTGGGAGAAAAATAGGCACACAGTGCTAGTGAACAACTCACTGAAACTCATAACCGCGTATTTACCAAGAGCTACATAACAATTCAAAATTTTGATACTATAACAATTATTATTACCTTTTTGGCCTCTTGCACTTAAAATAATCTAATATTTAGACATATTTATTTTAAAAATCACCATAGTAGGCCCTTATTTGAAAAAAAAAATCTTTTGTTTCTTCACTTGCATTGTTTAATTTTATAAATTAATGAACTATAATTATTATATTTTCTTTTCTTTTATTATTTTTGCTACTTTTTCATAATATGACTTCAAATTAAAATAGACACAATCTAGGATTAAATGTAATGGTTATTAATTTTATTATGATTCTGAATGAAACCAAAGAGATATTTATTAAATGTTATTCATAACTTTCATTAAACATCAGCTCAAACAATATTGTTATAAAATATAGTCAGAATTACTTTTTTAATTTTATAACATGCACTTTACTTTTAATGATAGTTATCTATATTTTAAATAAACAAATATGGAAAAATTTGAAAAACAGTAAAGAGTTTTTTTTTTAAATATTTAAAATATAAAATAATAATTATGTAATTATGAAATTTTAAATCTAGCTATTTTGTACTTTCTCTTTGACCCAAAATCATGTCTAATAATTTTTCTTTTCGGTTGGCTCGCAATTTGCCCCTTGGGCGAGCTCAACGTTCGTTTTCGTATTTTGCCCTAATTAGGCGGCCAGCTTTTTTCCGCGTCTCCCCCAGCTCGTTTTGCGGCGCAATTTTTCGCCGAAAGTGGTGCTGCTGGTCGTGTGTGTGCGCGACTGTTTTTCCCTCTTTTGGCCGGCACGCTCGCGTTCCAAATAAACAGAGCTCTTGGAGGACTTAAATGCTGCAGTATTAAAACCCTCGCGCGCGCAGAGACCACAATTTATTCGCCGCCGTAATAAAACAATAATTAGCGGCGCGCTGACCGCATATGAACTTGCGGCGACTTGGGGATTATTATTGTCCACTGGCCGGCACTCGCCAAAAGCTGCAAAGCAAATAAATGCCCACGACCGGCCGACGCCGCCGCCTTGCATTATTGCCTACGTGAGAGTTTCGAAAAATCCGAAAAAATGAAACACGAGCGAATTAATAACGACTGCTGCGGCTTTTGTTGTGAGCGCCGTTTTTTCTCTTCTTTCGTAATATTTTCGACGCACACACGCAAAAAGGTGCAGACTGTTTTTACTGCCCTGCGGCCTTTTTGTTTTATCAGTTTTCTGCTCGCCCGGCCAAATAATTCATCTTTTGTGAGAACGCGCGCGCAACACACACCGTGCCCATCGAGCAGTTTATATTTTGCCAGGGTGCTTAACTTTTTCGCCGAGTTAAACAAACTGCCGACGAGTATTTAATTTTCGCTCGGACGCAGGTGAAAAAGCGTGCAACGCGCTCACAGGCCGGTATTTTGAGCGCGTTAATTAATTTTTTTGGGTGATTCCGTTTCGCACGCTTTCCACGCCCAATCAAACATTTCAAAATTTTGCATAGAGAGACAACATAATCATTTATTCTTTTAAGCGGGGTTATAAAATTATTGTAAACCCACAAATTTCTGGCAAATTATGTTATTCAATTTTAAAAAATCATAAAATAATATAATTCATATTTTTTCCCCCTAGAGAAATACTTTCAGTATGAATTTAGTTGCCCAATATTGACTAATTATTTGGTATCTTAATCTGTTTAAATTTCTAAACTTATAAATTTTAAAAGTGTGATAATTTTCCAACTAATTACGGACTAATTGGTAATTTAAACTGTGTTTGAACTTCTGCTTTTGATATTTTCCCATTTAAGGGAGATATTAATTTTTCTGTACTAGCATGTGTATGAATGAGGAATTCTCTGAATTCGGTAATAAACATCAGCCAAGCTTTTTAATCAATGCACAACTCCAGTCAGTTAATGGGAAAAAGGATGCCTTTCAATGCCAGAACAAAATTGAAACCCGAACGCGAGATGGATATGCCACATCGCTGCGGCACTCTAAGCGCATTCGTTTTATTGAAAAGAAAGATATTCCACTCAAACACTCGCGTACAAGTACGGATTTTCGCACCGATAAATCGTGGCGTTAAAATTCTGCTCGCGCGCCACGCTCTCGATTCAAATGATGATTTACATTCTCGCAGATGCATCAGAAAGAAACAATCGCGGCGTGTGTGTTGTACGTGTCGAGCAGATAGATGCACCGCATAATGCGATCCTCGCCGCAAAATATTCTGCACTCGGCTGCGGATTTGCATCGGCACGGGCAGATTTATCCTGTGGGATTTGCAGTGCAGCTCTCTCGCGTGAGAAAGCGAACGAGACACGCTGCGACGAAACCATCCATCCATCGCGGCGGCGGCGGCACAGCCACCGCACCATTAATATTTCACGTCGCTTCCGCTCGTTTTCCCAAATCCGCTACGACGCACCCGTAAAATGCACGAACTCGCGCTTTCGGCACCACGAAATGATCAGCAAACAAAACGAGCGTGCCGCAGTTCGCAGAGTGTTTTCATTTTGCAAATGCGGATCGGCTTGTGAAATTCTTCTCGGATCACTTCCTATGCGAATCCCTTCACAAT